CGCTCTTTCTAACTTTGCTTATTTGTAACCGTTATGTGAAAATGCCCCCTTACTTGAAGTTTTATTTGCCTATGTGTCATTTGTACTTAAGTCACAATAATAGTTTGGCCGGGAACCACACTAGTGGATCCTTAGGGGTGCCTAACACCTTCCCCTCGGGATAATTTCAAGCCCTTACCAATCTCTGGTTACTCAAATCAAACCCTTCTTAGTGTCCTAATGCACTTTAATCATTAGGTGGCGACTCTTCAATTCAAACCCAATTCCCCAAAAGGGAACGAGTTGTCTCCCAAATGTCATAAACCCGATTTCGCGAGAAAAAGGGGGCGCGACAGACGGGAGCGATACAAAGGTAAATATTTATCACTTCTAGGATTCCACTGCCTATCTTCTAAAATTTTTTTGGACATTCTGGTATTCATATCTAACTGTTCTATTCTAGAGTGCACCGTCTGGGTGTCTCCCAAGGAGATCTATTACCACGTTTGCACTATCTTTCAAAAAATTTAGCTAATGATCACAATCCATCCACCATTTTGGGCTAATCTAACCCAGCTGGATCCTGATGTCCCATCTTTCTCTTAAATAATAAATGAGAGCTCCCACAGGGCATAATTAAGATGGTATGGCCAATTGTACATATTTTTGTTATTGTTGACGGTAACTCAAATACTTATATTTCTCTACTGAATTTAAAAACTAATAATCTTCCCTAGCTGGGTACCTCGTACCCTTATCCACCTTGATTTTATTATCTGTTAGAACTTATACTTTTACCTTCTAATACTCCCATGGCCTGCTATTCGCGGGGTATATTAGATATTTCCGTCTTAGGGTCTTAAGTAGGAAATTCGCACATCCCGTATGCATGATCTGATAGGGCCTCAAACTGGGCCACATTGTCAAGAATTCGCTCTCTGCTAGTGCCCTAACCTGCTGCTGTAGTATCCCTCTAGCTAGCTATAAATTTTCAAATTGCAAGAATCTCTATTATTAGCAAACATAAGTCTTGGCTCGAACTCTTATGACTCGGCTCTATAGCACGATGTGGATTTGAAAGAAGGGTAATATACTCTTAAATGCCTTGTAGCTTCCTGTTCATATAATGTGGTGCACAACACATCTATAAACAGGGCTCTACTAGACACGGCTTGTAGACTCCCTAGGACAGAACTACTCTGATGCCAAGTTTGTCACGCCCCAAACTTGAAGAGGCGTGGCCGGCACCCGGTGCCGTACTCGGCCCGAGCGTACCACTCTGTAAGTGTGAACTCTCGAGAGGTAACCCTTAACTAAGGCCGAGAGGCCATATTTCGAATCGTATGAAAATAATGCCTCTCACATCTGTGGGGTAAACATACACAAAAGCTGATATATATAATTGTACAGGCTGATGAAGCCGCCATGAACATTTACTGATATAAAAATATACAGGACTCGTCTATAACCCTCTAGATATAACTGAACTGTACCATGGTTGGGACAGGGCCTTGACCTACCCATCAAACATGTATATATAAAATGGACTCCAAGGTCTAGACCTGGTAACTCCGAGGAAATGGAGCTTACCAACCAAGCTGATGTTTGACTGTCTGCTGGGAGGGTCTGTCCAACTGTCAATGAGGACCTGCGGGCATGAAATGTAGCGCCCCAAGCAAAAGAGACATCAGTACGAAATAATGTACCGAGTATGTAAGGCAACAGAATAACTGAAAGTTGAAACTGAACTGATAATATAATTACTGAAAGTAAGTGGGAGTCAAAGATAATCTGAAGATATGCTTACCTGCTGATACCGACTCAACTCTCTCAATATAGTAAGTAAAATAGTTGTCCGGCCTTATAAGTCTCGGTATGTGTAACTTCACTGCCGTAGTAGGCTCGCTCATAGGCGCTTGGCCATACTAGGCTCTGTATTTCGGCCATTCTGGGCTCACTCATAGGCGCTCGGCCATAGTAGGCTCAGTATATAACTCACCATCTAATCAAAGGTTGCCCAATAGGGGCCTGCCCATCGATTATAGCTCGATGGTGGTGAAAATACTGTAATACTATATATATATATATATATATCTGCTCTCTTGGCTGACAAAAGACAAAACTAAACTGAATATGAAGTCCCGATAAGGGAGAATACTGTAACTTATGAGACTAGGAAAAATGTACATAAATTCAGGAATATGAACTTCACATTATGTCTCGTTATCAAACACATGTAGTTACTAGATCATGCCAAAATGAAAGAAAGATTTAGCCTTAACATACCTTAACTCTGTAGAGTCCTTAATACCTTCCAAGCAATTCTTCAAACAACTCAACTCAATCTACCACAGCATAAGGAGATTCAAAATCAGTGCTGAGTAAATGCTAAGTCCGCAACTTAAACTAGTAGTTCGTTTACGTAAATTGGGCAGCATCTCTCCTGTAACAAGGCCCTTCAACAAGAACACAACAATAACAATATGTATGTATCATTTTCCAACCTTATCTCCATCACAATATATCACAAAACAGCCCACACACCCTAATCACTTCATACATAAAACAAACAAAAGTAGTGTCAAACAACCTAAAAATGTAACGATGAATGACTAGCCCACCATTCTGTCATTATGTGGTGTTTCTCCACACCTTTTATCCTCCAAAACTCCATAAAACATCAGCAAAATAGACAGCCCAAAAGCAACACGAAACAGCCCACAGAACAGTCCACTACAAGTCGAATAACTCGAACTCACGGCTTCCAATCACCGTCTCGTGAGTTATTAGGAAACGAATTTATCAACCGTCCTTGATATTTAAAGCTTAAATACAGAAATTAGACATTTTCTTAACTATGAAGTACTTTCCAAAACTCAAACTACAAAGAAAAACAGAGGCGATATAGTGACACTTATATCGTAGGGATCGTTCTAGTGTTATCGCTTCTTGATTTCGTACCCGGGATGTTAATATTCTTGGAAACTCTTGTGGAGAGCTTGAGGATAAGTTTAGAAATCTTATTCTGGTCGTGGTATGTGAAAAAGTGAAGAAATAGACGACATAAGGCCTATATATATCCATTTTTGAAGAGTCAAAGTGGTGCTAGCTTGGCACCCTATTATTGGCTCTTCTTCAGACGCGTATATCTTTTTATCCGGATGTCGTATGAAAGAACGGTTAAGGGCGTTAGAAACTACATTCCAAGACCTTCAAATTGGTATATAATATGTCCCAAAAAGACCTCATATAATACACGAAATGTATTGCTCAAAAAGCTTTAGTGACACACCTACTTGTCACCGATGCAGTCTGCGCAGTCTCGCGAAACTGCAAATATCTCTCTACTCCTATGTCGTATTGATGAACGGTTTAATGAGTTAGAAAATATACTCGTAGATCTTCCATTTAGTAGGTAGATCATCCCCTAATTCCAAGTATATTGGGAGAAAAGCTCAACTACATTTGACCTAAATTTTATCATATTTATGAATGTAACTTGTGATGATCTTTGCCAACTTTTGTTCCACAATTCACTTGACTTCAAAACATAACACACGACTATCATAAGACAAAAATAAATCATAACATAACCTCCTTATCATTTTGAGCACCCTAGTCTCACCCCAAAAGTACATTTTATTTTCTTCAATTGGTTTAGCTTCCAAGTCTTCCAACCCTCTTGGTACTTGCAGTCCACGATCTTAAATATTTGTAACCTCCAAGTTAACATGATTAACTTACTTTATGTACTTTGAAAGATGATCTCATTTCAGAGCTTACACAATTGACTTACGACGTACTCTCACATACGAAACTATGGGGTGTAACACCAAAATAATAAATTTGCAACTGTGCGCTTATTTTTATCTCTTGTTTAGATGCAATAACTATTTATTTTAGCTTTGTATCTCTTTTCTTTTTACTTCGTATCTTTTTTCTTTTTGATAGTCGTGATGTCACAACCAGCTTACGTGTATCTTGACTAATTCAATAGGATACTTGTCACTTCTAACTAGCAATAGGTACCAAGTAACGTTGTCCACCAATGCTTGGACAAATAGAAAGAAATCACCTAGTGCTTTTGCCTCCATTAAGATTGAACCCGAGACCTTATGGTTCACGCCACTTTATTGACCAGTAAGCCACGCCCTCTGCTTCAAGTTCCGATTGTATATTTACTTATATTTATTTTTTAGATGCAACGACTATTTATCTCAATTGTGTACTTCTTTGTCAAACCAAATTTACAACCAAAAAAAAAAAAGTTACTTGGATCTTATTAATTATAGCCAAATAATAAAATTTAGCCTAAATAATGGAGTTTCAGCAATATTTTTATAAACAGAAAGATAATCTAAAAACTTAGCGAATTTAAAAAGTGCAAAAGTATATGCTCCCTCGATCTGAAATTTTTCGAAGTACAATGATCAAATTGACTAATTTTCAGTGTGAATTCAAACATAAATTCTTTAAAAATTTTAAAATAAACTCTACATATTTAGAAACAACATAAAAAGTAAGTCACAATAGTAAAAAATTTAGAATATTTGTAAGAAAACATGATCAAGAAAAATCTTATTTCACATCACTCCCTATTCAGTAACAAGTCCATTTTTTTTTAAACGAAAGGAGTATTATTTTTAAAAGATGCCACGCGGAAAAAAATCCACATGACAAGCAAGGGTATGCTGCTTCCCTAGGATGAGATCGTTCAGGGGTAAATGCTTTCAAATATCTCCGTGTAAAGGGATGATGAGGAGAAAGTATAGTTTGAGGAGGGAAGTAATAATCCGAGCCAAGTTTAGGGGTGTTCTTAAGCATTCTACCAAAAATCAAATAAATAAAGTAAAACTAATCAAGATCAATATAAAGCTAAGCATCTAGAGTCGAATTGAGTTGCAGCTTTGGCTTAACCCAGAATACAAGCTAAAGGAGTAAAAGCTAGCCTATTTTATATGCTTCTTTTTTTAGTTAATAAGATCCTGCAGTTGTGGCTGTAATTGTTACTAATAGTGTACTTCAGTAGTAAACTGAAATATTGCTCATAATCCAAATCCTCCACAACTATAATTCATCGAGGAAAATAGAGTAGCACCGTCAATACATCATATGATGAAAAAGTTAGATGAAATCGATGGGGCTACATTTCCAAACTTCAATTACATGAAAAATTAACTGTTAGGATCTGTATAAGTAGATGCAAAAGAAACTTCTGGCTTTCCTGGGCACTGGCAAATGGCAATAAAGGGCCATTGCCCATTGGAAACATGGTGTAGAACAAAGAAAACATTAGGCAGAGAAAGGTCTGCTTTAAGCACATAAGGCCCAAGGAAAGAGCGGAACTCAAACCTGCAATGTCCTCATATTGATCGTTACCTTCACAACCAGTGAAGAATTGCTTCGGCAGATACTTGACTTACAAGGCGGGATTCAAGGTAAAAGAAATAGAAAGTTGCAATCAGGACAGAAGGCAATGACGAAGCACCATTTAATAGATGCTTCCTGACGTTGAACCAGAGTGAAAAATCAAGAACCGGCCCCTTTTTATCTCACTTGTCGAATCCACCTGCAATCTCAAATGACAAAAGCAAAATAAGGTAAGGTGATAACCACAAGCATATTGTGATGAGTGGAACCACTCAGTCTGTAACTAAAGAAAAGAAAAGTGAAAAGACCACTAAACCTGCAAGTTCTTCCATAAGGGGATGGATATGGAAAGCATAAGATGACCATAATCTTTTTGTTGTTAGATAAGAACTCCACCCACGAATGAAAGATCATCTGTCCATGCCCTCAATAACCCACTTCATCCACGTGAAGAAGCAATGTTTTGATATGTGCTCAGGTAGGTCTACCTATATAAATCATGATAGTTAAAAAACCAAGAAACATAACTAATTTTCACACATCAAAAGAAGTAACATTAATGCATGTAATGTTTGCTCAAAATCATATTCTTTCCCCTAAGATAGATACAACATTAATCAGCTGTCAGCATGCTTCCGTTATTCAAATTGCTAATGACGGACACAGTCCCCAAATCTATTAGTTGCCCCAATAACAAATCAAATTATATATGACAAATGTCAAATGGTCTAAGAGCCAGTTCTGTGGAAGAGATTTGCAGCAGAGGTCCTAGATGTTCAGGAATCATGTGTCAATTGTCAATATAGCAGTGGGAAGGTGGAAAAATATGGCCAGGCAAATAGAGACTAGAACTTGAAGGAAAACAATATTTTGAACTTACGCTGCTCCAAGTAGTCGCATACCCATCAGTAGAAAGCAACCAGTCACCAGATGTCAAATGCAACTCCGCTCTATCCTCAATAACATCGGCAAATTCATCCCCATCTAATTCTTCAAATTCAAGATCCCTTCTCTTTTTCTTTTTGTGTTTTTGCCTTTTCTTGCGCTTATTTCTGGCTGACCTGGTGTCCTGCTCAGACTCACTTTCTTCCAGAAGTTGATCGTGATCTAATATTGGATAAGTCTTGGACTTGCGAAAGCTTATGTCATTGCCGACAAATAAACATTCCCAGGAACTGGAATGTTGGAATTCCTCAGATAAATAATAGTGGAATGCCCAAGACTGCAATCCCAACCATTTTATAGTTCCTAAAGATTTTCTGCTGAAACATTCTCTTAGAATTGGTATAAAGCTATCTTTACAGATTGTTGGTGTACAAATTTGGAAAACAATATGCTTAACCTTTTCCTTTTGCTCCTGACTTCCTTCGTCACGTATAAATCGCATAAGCTGCCGAGTTTGAGTAGTAACTGCATTCAAGAGAAGCAACTGATCAAGAGAATTACTGCCATCACAAGTGGAGAGTATGATCTCCAGCCAAAAAGAAGAATCATGACAATCCATCTTTTGCAACCTTGGTTTAACATATCTTTGGAGTAAATCCAAGAAAACCTTTAGATCTTGTTCCCCAAGAACGATGAGAAGGTGTTGACATAAGAAAGAGAAAGATTGCTCAATGAGAAACTCATCTACAATTTCCCAAACTTCTTTCAAATCCTCCTTGTACATCAAGTCAACAAACATACTGACAAAAAAATTATTATCAATGGTCAGAATATCACCATCTTTCAGTGACTCGGCAAATTCCTTAGATGACCAAAATTCAGGAACATACTCAAGAAAATTCTCCACTGTTCGTTCGACATCCAGATCAAGAAAATAGTGGGGCTTTGTGGCAACCATTGCAGGAGATTGCCCATGTTTCCCCCTCCACTCGAGCTCCTCCCAACAGATGTCTCTATTTACAAAAGCAAACTGGGACAGTGCCTTAGCCCCCTTTGTATGGGTTGCATAACCAGTACCAGCAAAATTAGAAAACCACTGCAAAATACGGTTTTGGTTTCCTGCAAGATCAATAATTTGCAGACAAAAAATGAAAATTACTGAGATCAGATAATCAGTACAGGAAAATATCTTAGTAAGTGTGAACTGAGGTGATGTACCACATACTAACCTCTACAGCAATCCAGGAAACAAACTATACTAGAGTCGTTTTGACATAAAGAATATTAGAACAAAGATTGGAACAGTTTCTATCACCATGAACTTTTTATTTCCCTCAAAATTTCAGAAGAAAAACTACATAGACTTGAGACAAAATTATACTTTATTGTTTGTTCAGCAACTCTCAAAAAGATAACCCAAGAAAGAATGTACCCCTGGTAACTCTCCTTTTTTTATACAGGTAAAAGTACCATTGGCAATTCTCATTAATGTTTTTTAACTTAATTTAATGGCAAAAGCAAACTTCAACAAACTGTGAAGTCACCAGATAATTTCTTTTCCTCAAATAAACCCACTTTTATGGTAACTGCTAAAAGTTATCTTCCAATATTGTTTTCTACACATGCCACACTCCAGCCAAATTATACGTTTTGAAGTTATACGTGATTGGTAAGAAAAAACATGTCTTTTATACGTGATAACTGAATCAATATATCATGGAAAGAGTCAATCAGTCATTAAGATTCTGATAAATTCGACATGATGAACAAGCTAAAATCAAGGAAGCTTCATCTGAAAAATCTAGAAGCATATGGCTCATGGATCAAGCAAAAAGGAACTAAATAACCAACTTAAAGAAAAACGCCAGATCAAGATGAACCTCACCCACTAACTCAAGTGAAATAGTAAAACCTTACCTTTGAAGAAATTTTCTAATAAAAAGCATTTCTTTGCAATGATATGCCCTGCTTTCTGAGGTTCCTTCTGGAAAAGCAATCGTAGGAGTTGTCCGACTAAGGGCCGCTTTAGTGGCTTAGACCTCAATAAGGTAATGAATAACTCGTGTTGATTACGGGGTGTTATAGACCGTACCCCTGCGATAGCATTGCAGAGCCAAAGACGAGATTCAGATCGACCTTCCACGGATATCAGTGACCAGATGACTGATTCTAGCTCATTCAGAAGAGCTTTTCTCTGTTCAGCTGATTCATCATCTGCATTTTCCTTCGATGATGGTTTAGATAGAAATAACTGCAGCATTTTATCTGAAATATCACAAGTTGGCATAGGAGCAAGTTAGTCCAAATTATGATTCGACGAATATGGGAACAGTAGAAAAATCAATGATCTTAATTTTGAGGAATGCACTAAGAACAAACTCAAACATCAGAAATTATGGAGAGCAGGGATTTCCAATACTTGAATGTAAACACACATCTCACTGGGCTGTAGAGCACTATTCAATAGTATTGGACAGGTATACAGAAAATTAGAAAATAAGACAAGGGTGAAGATGTAGTTTGTTATTTTCAAAAGAAGACAAAGGTGAAGATGCATCATTCGCGTTGAAGTGAAATTAGTTCCATAAACATAGTACTACGGGGAGAGTTAAAATAACTAGATAAATGAGTGGTTTTCAATGATTTCCCTTGTTTCTTATCACCTCTATCTAACCATTTTATTCTTTACTTTCAGAATTAAATAGCAAAAACTGAGTGCTCAATTCAAGTTCCTGCTTAGTGCTGCCCAAATTTATGATGGTAACATATATAGATATGACAGCCCAATCAGTTGACCTTACAGAAATCTGGAAGTAAAAAAAGAATCACGTAAGATTAAGTTACTTTATTCGTACACAATAAAGACCGTATAAAATCTCAAGAAAATGCTAATAATCGAACAACTCATTTAAGAAAATGTCCAGAATAAACCTATCAACTTCAGGAGATAAAATAATCTCGCTTAGTATAACAAGTTATCAGCTACTATTATCACATTTCAGCTACAAAATGAGGAGCTTGAAAGGGTGAAAATACCACATACATCCAACTTTTAACCTCTAATTATGGCTATATCAAACCAACAGGCTGTTGTAAACTCACAAGCACACAATGTAAACAACTGCATCCACTTCTCCTCTCCATAAATTTTACATGCTCATCACACACAAATTACATACTATGTACTATGTATATTAGCGCATTCCCCAAAGAGAAAAAACAGTTAGAGGGTGTGCGAGCCTCGTACTTTGATTGATGCCCAACGTAAAAACTAAAAGCAATCAATTGAGGGGGAAATTGAATAGGAATCTACTGCTCAACGGCAAAAAAACAAAAATCGAATGCATTACCTGAACCGGTAATCGGAGACGCCGTGCGCGGAGGAAAGGGTCTGGAATACTTGGGGCAAAATATGGTTTTTTAAAAAGGGTTATTAACCGACCCGAATATGTCAGGGGGGAAGTGCACAAATAGCAGATTTCGGGACACGGTCTTGAACGTAGACAAATTTTAAAAATTATTTAAATGTGCCACTTAGACTTATCGCGCATTTGGCCAAACTGCAAAAATCAGTTTATTTTGAAAAGTGTCTTTTTTTAAAAGTGCTTTTTTCAAAAGTACTTTTGGTGAGAAGCGGTTTGTGTTTGGCTAATTAGTTTGAAAAGCACTTCTGAGCAGCAATTAATGTTTGGCCAAGCTTTAAAAAACTGCTTCTAAGTGTATTTTTCTCAAAAGTGCTTCTCAAAAAAGTGCTTTTGGAGAGAAGCTACTTTTTTCTGCTTCTCCAAAACTGCTTCTGCTTCTCCTCAAAGGCACTATTTTTCCTTCCAAAAGCTTGGCCAAACACCTCAAATTTTGACCAAAAGTACTTTTGGCCAAAAAAAAATACTTTTGGCCAAAAAAAAAACATAGCCAAACAGGCTATTAGTATTAAGCAACTATAATATTTTAGCAAAAATACACTAGCGGTCTGAAATTTGCACGTTTACAAGTTAATAACTCTAGACTGGCATGTGGCAGACGGTATAATTGCAATCTGAATTTTACTTCTTTCTTAATTCGTGTAAGAAAGTATGATTATTTTTCATATTTGAAAATTATTTAACTTTATATAATGATTTATAACCATAAAAAAATATATGTGTTATATTTTAATAATTCAAAAGTCTTTTTTTTCTTAAACTTCGTGTCTAGTCATGTAGGTTCACATAAATTGAAACGGGGGTTACATAGTTATCTATTATTATTAGGGGTCATTTGAGACCATGATGGGACAAACAAGAATATTCCATGGAATGAGATATCCTATGAGATTAACTATCACACCTTTCATATAAAATAGCTAATTCCACCATTATAGTATAAAACTTATCCTGAGATTCGTTAATACTTTCTATTCAATTATATTTATTAGATAAAAAAGAAAAGATGGTCGGCCAATGGCATATTTGTAATGACCCAATCGGTCATTTTGAGTACTAGCTTTAATTTCAATGTTCCGAGACCTCTCATGGCTTCATTTGATGTTTATTGATTTGCGTGCGTGGTCTGTGTCGTTTTTCGGAAAGTTTTTACGTCAAATTTTGAAGAAAATTAAATTTTTGACTTAGAAGAGTCTAGAGTTGACCACGGTCAATATTCTTGGTAAACGACCTCAGATCGGTATTTTGATTATTTTGTTGGTTAGTATGATATTTTTGGACTTGTAAGCACGTTTGGTGGGTTCCGGGGTGATACGAGCGCATTTCAGCGCGTTATGTGAAAAAATGTGAATGAGTTTTAAAGTTGAAGTTCTTGAGTTTGATGATTGATTCTAATTATTTGGTGTTATTTTGATGATTTGAGGTAGCGGGCAAGTTTGTTGGATGTTATTACACTTGTGTGCATGTTCGATTTGGAGCCCAAGGGGCTCGGGTGAGTTTCGTGTTACATCCCTTACTTTAATATTAGGATGAGTCATAGTAATCCATATGAGCTTGAAGGGATTGAGACCATTCATGAGATTATAGAGGATTTGTGACTATGTTATTCTAAGAACCCGTAAGTTTAACAACATTGATACCGTTATATACATTTGACATGATATTTTGAGTGGAACATTTTTGTGAAAAAGTTTGAAAAATATGATTTTATGTAGTTATTAATAGGGAAAATTTCATATTAGAACAACCGGGATCCCTACTTTTTAATTTTATAGCTCATGTTTCAATTTACAACTAACTAGCTCAAAAATAATAGGCTAATACTCAACATTCAACCCCAATAGGTTCTCCAAATTACTATTTAATTTTTAAAAAAGATTGCTCAAGATTTTAAGTTAATTTTTGAATCATTAACTGTGACTCAATTATTAGTTCAACAAACCAAATCCATTTGGATAGTGAAAATTAGATTTCTAACAAGCTTAAATATGTGAATTTAAATTCCGATTTTGGTTTTGTGAAAAATTTGGAGTGGGTGTTATTTAGGCTTGTTAGAAATAGTATAAGGAGGTTGTATATTTAGGCTTGTATATGAAATTTGAAGTCATTTAATGGAGATTTGTACTGTTTTTGAAAAAAATTGCAACTGAAAATCGTGGAAGAAGTTCGTCCACAAACGTTTGAATAAAGGTGTATAAAAGTGTATAATAGTGTATAAGATGTGTTTATACACTCATAAACACTATTATACAAGATTATACATAATTATACAAAAAATTGATTTCGTCTTCTTCCTTGCGTCTTTTTTGAAATGTAACTCAAATCTTGCTCAAATCTACTCCAAATCACTTCAAATTTAAATTTTGAACTCCTTTTGATATTTTCAATCAATTAGAACAACACCAAATCCAAACAACTAACAAAGTCAAAAAATCCTATTTTCGAAAGCAAAGCTTTGAATGGCCTTCAGTGGTGGACTTCAACTTTTCAATTTTCTTACATTCCAATCAGTTGACACAGGGAGAGAAGCAGGAATGGCGGACGGCCCCTTGAAGCATATGTAGAAGATGTGAGAAGGGGAGAGAGTGAAAGCAATGGTTGTGAGAATACAGATTTAACTCCATAGCTTTTAGAAGCAAAGGTTGTAAGAACATAGATTTTAAATTTGCTAGTGCTTTCAAAATATGTACAATATGGGCTAGGTCAGGTAAAACTTAAAAACATGGGTCATTTTTTGTTATGGTGTGAAGTCATGTGTATTTTCTTGTAATTCTTTCTTATTAATATTGCTACTTTCAAATATTCTTTAAATTATACATATGATATGAAAAAGTTTATGAGATTTTCTTTATTGTAAAGATATAAATTATTTTTTTACAAGAAAAGAAGGTTATCTTTTTACCATTTTAAGAATTAAGCATACGGAAATTTGTAATCTTTATATGAGATTAGGAAAATTAGAAGTTGAGAAAATATATGTATTTTTACATGGATGTTTTAATGAAATAATAGTGTATATATTGATTTTATACGGTACCATGATTTATCAATATTTTAATATTTTAATAGTAGTACTTTAGGATGAGAACAAGATTATTTTGAGGTTATAAGTATTTATGCTATTTCAAACAAGTGATAAGTAAATTCATGAAGGTGAGAGGGTAAGCGAATCGAAGAAAATGAGTTTCGTCGAAGTTTGTCAATTTGGGATAAAATACCGTCTGAGCTATAATATCTGGTATTTATGGACTAGTCTTATACAAGGTACCACGTGACCATGATAGTAGGGTATATATAAAGTTTGTTAAAAGTGAGTAGTATTTTAAGTAATTTAAGATAATTCTTAATTATGTGAATAATTGGTTAATTAATGATTTTTGTGGAAGATTAGTTAGTTAATTATCAAATTTTGGATAAGTCTTGAGTCCCCCCCCCCCCCCCCCCCCGACGTGGCAGCCATATAGGATTAACTAGATGACCAATAAATCTAGTTAAATAGGTGGCAAGAATAAATGAGTCTTGGAGAAGATAGTAGGACTACTTTAATACTTAAAAATATCCCAAACAAGAAATAGATATGGTGTCCATGCTTGCTAGCTCTTTTATTTGGCAGATGTGTAGTGAATATGATTTTCATGGACTTTCAAATTGGCAGGCACCACCACCTTGCTGCTAGCATCAACTTTCTTTCATTAACCTATTAGAAGTTTTCTTATGATGAAGGTAAAAGCTATAATTGCCGAAGGTTCACTTGCAAAAATTGTGTGAAAAAGGTTACCTGAAAGAGACAAACGGTAGAAACCTATTGTATAAAAGAATGCTTGACCTGTTGCAAACTTGCAATGCGCATTTATGTTACTCTCTTAATAGCTATATATGCATTGATGCAGGTTCTTCAATTAGAAAGCCAATCAGTTTGTGGTCAGGTATGTTAAGGCTATCCCTTCTTTCTTTTTGGCATGATCCATACGATACAAACGAAGTGAGAAAATGCAAAACTTCCATAAATGACTCTATTCACAAAAATGCTAGAGATGTTTATGTTCTTGATTCCCCACATGTCCTATTATTCTATCGTCTGTTCATGGGTCTCAGAAAATACGTAAGTTGATAAAGTTTACTTCATGATATTACTCAAAGGCATAATGGCCTTATGACATTCCAAGAGATCATATTGACTTACTTCATTATGCATTGCATTCATTTATACATGTGCATTTACCCATGACTCATACGGCGTTATATATATATATATATATATATATATATATATATATATATATATATATATATATATATATATATATATATATATATATATATATGTATGTATGTATGTATGTATGGAATATGGGAAAAGGCTACGGCGTTATATACGCATCATCACCTGATCAGCTGGTATACGATGATGATTTTGCCCATAGTGGCTGAAATGATATGATGGGATGCCCTCAGAGGCTTTATGATGTTATGTACGTACAGACCTATGCATTAGATGACATTTATACACATATGCATGATACTATAAATATTTAATGATTTACAGAGCTATCCAAACTTAGAGGTTGAATCCTTTATTCCATGTTTCTTCCATGTCCTTAATTAATGTTGACTTACTGTTATGTTTCAGTTCCGCCTTACATACTCGGTACATTATTCGTATTGGCGTCCCTTTGTTGGGGACGTTGCATTCATGCCTGCAGGTATAGACAATCAGTTTGACGAGCCCTCATAGTAGACGAGGTTAACATTCAGCGAAGGATCGGTAAGACTCCACCTCATTTGGAGTGCAGCCGAGTCTATAAGTGTCAAAGTTTTGCTACAGCCGTATGGTTAGGCCGGTGCCCTGTCATATTTGATGTCTAATACTCTTAGAGGCTTTGTAGACAGAGGTTCATTTTGTACAGTATGCTCGAGGCCTTGACGGTCCATATGTATTCATGTTTTATGAATGATGGTTCATTGATATAACATTTGCCCACTTACAATTGTGCATTATGAGTTGTGGCCATGTTGGCCCATGATAATTACAAAAAGGAATGAGTTTAGCCAACTTAACCTATGTATGTTCTAGTTTTGGTCGAATGATCAAGAGTTGCAGAGTGGTTCGCTCGGGCCAGTGCGGCACCGGGTGCCAGCCATGCCTCCCCAGGTTTGGGGCATCATTTCGGATGCATTGCGGATAAGTTTGGAACAACTGATGCATAGTTGTTGCTGGTGTCAACTTGAAGATCTCGTAAATGCGAGAACCTACTCGCATCTGCGAGGGGCGCTGGGGAATGGACACTTCGCAAATGCAACGTTTTGATCGCAAATGCGGACTATGGGAGCTCCACAAATGCAAATTACCTGTCGCACTTGTGACACTTGGGGAAGGCTGGACAGCTTCGCATTTGCGAAGCTTTGATCGCAAATGCGCACGTGGGGGCAGTCGTAAATGCGAATCTTTTGTTGCAAATGCAACTTCTTAGGGCTTGTTGCACTGGTTGCTTTTCTGACCCGTATTTCGCAAATGAGGGCTTCACAATTGTGAACAAGAGTTCGCAATTGTAATACCTGCAGCTGGGTAAAAGAGGGAAAAATCGGGACTTCGCTCATTTTACACCATTTTTCAACCCTAAACACTCTAGAGGTAATTTTTGAAGTACTTTTTCTTCCCAAATTCATTGGTAAGCATCTTTAACTGGTTATCAATCAATTTCAATTATTTTTCATGAGTTTTTATCATCAAATCTAAGAATTTCATAGTAGAAATTAAGGGTTTTGGATAGAATTTAAGGATTTGGTAATATTGAGATTTAGACCTCAAATTGAGGTCGGATTTCAAAACAAGTCACATAACTGGGCTCGGGAGTTATGGGTAATCATATTTCAGTCCAGATCTCGGGTTTTGATCAAGCGAGTCCAGTGTTGACTTTTTAAATTTAGTTAAAGATTGAACCTTTTTCATTTGTGGGTAGTTTCTAAAGCTTGTTTTGAATTGTTTGAATGGTATATGGCTAGATTTGATTGGTTTGGAGCTTGTACTAAAGGGAAAGCCCTGGTTGATTGTTGACTTGTTTCGGAAGAGGTAAGTATTTTTCCTAGCTTTATTGGGGAAATTTTTCCTACTAATTGATATTATTTGCTACATGCGTGGGTGATGCATATACGAGGTGACGAACGTATATGCATGTGCCAAGGTTTCCATGCTCAAGAGGGGAATTATATTCTTATTTGTGCCTTTATTGAACTTGATGATCCCTTAATCTACGCTTCATTTAATTTGATGACTAACAAACTCAATTAACTGTGTTAGAAATCATGCTAGAATATACATGACATCTCAAAAAGGATTTAATATGTTGTTTTGAGATCCATTGCATACCTAATTTGATCGTGGTATCACGAACCTATATCTATACCCGTTATTGTCATGTTACTTGATCTTCTTTGCTTGTAATAAGAGATGGTGATTAGGGCCTTCAGGCTATGTTTGGCATGATGGGTATTTCCATGGTGTTGGCACGATGAGTTTTTTCGTGCGATTTAAAATGAGATTGGTTTGTTGGTTATTACCGTGCGAAAAGGAAGGAAGTTGAATTTCTGTTATGATTACTCATTCGTCAAGCACTTACATGCCCTTTACTTTGTTCTATTAATGTTTGTTGTTTTGTATGATACCTTCCGTTTGAATTTTTGTGGTAGTTACCTCTGCGTTTTTTCTTTGGCCCGTTACTGTTATAGCTATGTCTTTACCTTGTCTGTTAATGTTACAGATGTTCTTTTACTTGATTTACTTCTGCTACATGTCCTCTTCGAATTCATGCCTGGTACTTATTATTAGCCCATACCTGTTTCATGCCTCTTATTATCACGTGATTTACTTGTTAAATGTCTTAACCTGCTACATGTATTTACTCACTACTTGCTTTCACTTACTACATATTTTCACTTACTATATGTTTTTACTTAGCATATACTTTGTCACGACCCGAAATCCCCACCTTAGGGATCGTGACGGCGCCTAACATTTTACTTGCTAGGCAAGCCAATATTAGAGGATCTTTAAGCCAATTTTAATCACGAAGGGTGATGCCGTGCCTTTTTTTTAAATATCATCGGTTCATCTATCTTTAATGTTGATGATTTATGGGGAAGGGGTGAGGATCATTTGGTGATAATTTGGGGTCGTTTGGTGGTGGTCCGCCGTCGTGAGGCGATTTTCGATGGTGGTCAACGCTGGTCAAGGGATGGTCTAACGGTGGAGGAGCAATGGTGGCGGTGGACAGGGGAGGATTTACGTACAAAAATTGGGTGCTCGAGCACCCATTAACCTCGAATCGAAATATGTATAGTTATATAGAGAATTTAAGAAAAAGGGATATAATTAAACAGCAAGCATCCAGGCAACAAAGAGCCTAGTGGGTGCTTTGGTTTATGATGGATGCTGGAGTGTTATAAAAGCCAATGGGTGAGGGATCAAACCCGACTCCTTGCAAGCATTTTTCCCTCAATTTTTCTTATATCAGACATTTTCTTTTGCCTCAATTATGAGGTCCTTTTTTTTTTTTTTTGTTTCAGTTTTCACTAGCGATTTTATTGAGCCAATACTACTTTTATTCTTTCGCTTCTGACTTTTTTTTTTCTTTTCTTTTCTTACTTTATCTAATTAATTATAGCAAAGAAAGGAAAAGAATTTTTTTTAAAGAAAAACAAAGAATCCTTCCAGACCGCAAAATTCACTGATCTTTTTCTCACTAATTGTGTTATCCATCACAGCTTCACGGCATCTATAATATTAATATCATAGTTTTCTAATTAAATTTTTTCCATTGTAGTTAAATACTTGCATACTTATATGATGAGATTGATAGTAGCTTTACGTCAAAAATTGTTAAGCACCCACGAACCTAAAATCCTGGATCTGCCACTGGCGGTGGAGGCGATTTCCGACTGCCTTAGAGGGATGAGATAGAATAGGGGATTGGGGGTGGTATGTAAAGATTGTATTTTTTAGAATTTTTGTTTTATTAAAATTGTCAAATTGATGAAACTATGTAGTTTTGGTTTTGAACTACGCCGCTTTGGAGTCTCTGAAACCATAGGGTCTGGACCGGGTATTTGGACGGGTATGGTTGCTGGGTTTCAAAACTTGGGCCATCAGAATGATCATGTCCAATTTAACAAAGAAAAGGAGGCCCCTTATCCGTTTCTTGTTTAATTTTCAACATTAGCCTTCTAATTTAAAATCTAATTAAATTCTTCTTTTGCACCAATAGCCTAATTACCTAGTTATCTAATATTTAACTATTAAACTTATTAAATTATTTAATCATGCAACTAATAAGGTTTGAAAATGCAAAGTGCATGGTGGCAAACATATTTTATGATTGTTTGTGTTTTAAAAATGCAATTGACATGTAGTTAAGTGCTAACAATGCAATTAAAATCATAAAATGCAATGAAGGAAAGATATAAATATTTTTGATGATTTTATGAGTTTAAAATATTCCTAATAGTGCACTAATGCAAATAATCTAGAAATGCAACAAAACATAATCAAATAAATAAACAAGATCCCTAAAACTCTACAAAATGAATAAAAGACTATTTGGAATATATTTTTTAGGAGTAAATTTATGCGTAGGGCAAAAATCACATGCTCATAGAAAGAAAGAAAATTTACGAAGAAAATAATTGAGAAAGATAAAAAAAGAGCTAACAGAGTCGAAATGTGAATAGACAAATAAAGATTGTTATAGTTGAAGAAGGTACAAAATGCCTAAATGATGAGCAACGCAAGAAACGGAAGCCGTGGTTGCTGCGTTGACTGAGCTCTATAAGTTTTTTGGCTGCAAATCAAGGGAAGAAAGTAAAAGGACTATGTCTGATATGAAAAGATAAATTTTATCCTCGGTCGACCATTATGGCTTTTTTATATAAAATAAATAGAAAATAGACATAACTCTTGGTTTGTTACAAACGTAACATATTTATTTATTTTTATAGCAATTTGGAATTTTAAAGTGATTTTCAAAATGAATAATGAAGCATAAATTAAGCACAAAATCAATTATGTATATATTGTATATCTTACAGAAACAATGCAACTATACATATATTATTAAAATTAAAGAAGCAAAGAGAAAAACAAACTTAGCAACCTGTTTGATAATAAAATTTAAAAGAAAAAAGGGAAATAAAGGTAAAAACAATAAAAGTGTTGTAAAACCTATAGTTAATATGGATGTCCACTACTCCCACTATTTTCACCCATGATGTAAATAACCTCCCACTACTCATCACTATTATGATTGTAACTCCCACACCTCCATAACCTCTCCCCATGATCTCAATTGTTAATGTCATGTTTAAGACAATAATTTTGTAACCTTCATATGTAATATTATAAATAGAGGTATGAAATGTGAGATGAACACTTGAAGACATGATGAAATAAGAAAGTTATCTCTTATTCTACTTATCTTCTTGTTTTATATTGTTACTTTGAGCTAATAAAAAGGATATTATGGGAAAAGAAAGACACGAAAAAAACAAGATAGGAAACCTAACTTTGGAGAAGCAGATTTGCCGGAGTTGGAGAGGACCTTCTTCACCTTAGTGGGTTCACAGGAGTGTTAGACGGTTTAGGTTTGGGCTACTTCACGGGTTACAGTTGAATTCTTTTATGAAGATTTAATACACATAGCCGTTCACCTAATTGGTTAAAATAGGTAGGTTCAGCCCAAATTAGTGGATCAGCAAAATCTTACGAGCCCAACCCGGTAAAAGTTGGGCGGGTTGGGGGTTTTGGGCTTGTTTTGGCACCTCTAATATTTACATATATATATATAGGCAGCTTTTTGACGCGGAAGAGAAAAGGTAAAGAAAAGAGGCTACTACCTTTTAGGTGGAAGAGAGAAGAAATAGGAGGAGAAACCATCTATAACTTCGGGCAAGTTCATGACTTTTATGCTTTTCTTTTCCATTTTTCCATAATATATGCTTCTCTGTCTCTGTTAGTACTATTTTGTGTTGTAAAAAACTTACTCCGTACGTTGTTGCAATATATGTGGGCGACAATAGTTTCGTCCTTTCTTTGCTGTTATATTCAAACAAAAACTATATAACAATTGAAAAACAAGAACCATAGACTCTTTATTTTCCAATTCAAAGGAACAAATTTTATTTTGCCTTTTCATCGTTTTGGGTGGTGGGATGAGTGGGTGTGGGGAAAAGGGGGGAGGGTTTGGAGTCGTGCTGTTGACTAATGCCTGTTCTTCTATTTGTTGATATGGTTGTTGCATATAGTAGAAATCTGAAGATATAATTCGTGATACTCCCATCATAAGGATGTTGCTTTAGCTTATTATAACTTTGTCTATTTTTACGTTTGTAGGGGCTTTTATGAGCCTACTTCATGGATTTTTTTGTTTTTGGCTGCTTTCAACAATCATTTTTTTTTTTGGCTTTATTTATGGGTAGTTCAGGTGATATTGTGATGTTTCTTTTCTCGTGATAATGCTTATGGGCCAAGCTGATATATTGAGCTTGTTGTTTGCGGCTGGTGTGTGGTGTGCAACATACATGTTGGTTGCAGTTCTTGGCTTCTTTCAGATTTTCAATTTTCTCAGAACCTCTATCCTCAGTTGACCTCTCGATTTGAGCAACGTGTAAAAAGAACAGAAAAGGCAGTGATCATGGGCTACGCACAGTTGGTTATTGGCCCTGCAGGCAGGGGAAAGGTGATAGCTGGATCATATTGCTTCATGTTACTATAATGTTTTATATTGGATTTGTCCTTGATTTATATTTGGATGTCCAATCCTGCTAAAAAGATGTCCTTGATATGGCTAGTTTCACCTAGACTGATATTTCTTTTACAGTCCACTTACTGCTCTAGTTTGCATCAACATTGTGAGACCACGTGGCGCACTATCCATATTGTCAACTTGGATCCTGCTGCCGAGAACTTCGACTATCCAGTGGCTATGGGTGAGAAGAGATGGAGTATATTAAGTAATTAGCTTTCTGTTCATATGTCTTAATTCTAAAATTAACTTAATGATATTGGTTACAGACATTAGAGAACTCATCTCACTAGATGATGTTATGGAAGAACTAGGTCTCGGACCAAATGGTGGCCTTATGTATTGCATGGAGTATCCTTCCTTTAGAGGCTTTTCATTTTCAGAATTCTGTTTCTTTTGTATGAAAATTTTAAAATCCTGTTTTTGTCCTGTCAAAATTGTAAGCCCTTGATGGTGATATCAGACATCTTGAAGAAAATTTGGATGAGTGGCTAACAGAAGAATTGGACAACTACTTGGATGATGACTACCTAGTGTTTGACTGCCCAGGTACTTGTACATTTTCCTCTCCTATTTGTTCTTATATTAGCAGTGCAGTACTAATTCTCTGCTGTAGACTACTGAGTTTTGTTAGCAGGCGAAGATATTAACCTAGAATACTGCCAACATAACTTCATGTGAGTACATACTATAGGGACATATGGGTGGTGGAGAGTCTCCGAGGGCTTGACTATCAGTTGTGATTTTCCTTGGAATTGTCTTTACAGACGCTTGCCGCTTAGATTGTTCATGGATTGAAATCAAGGGCTAGCTGTTTCTTTCTTGTTAAATGACTTCAGAATGTTGTTCTACTGGACACATTTGTATCAAGTCACCTGAATTAATTTTGAGATACATGTCTAATTCTTATACTGGAAACATTTGTATCAAAACATCTGAATTAATTTTCAGTTACTAATTATTGATGTCATTATTTGTGTCCATGACATCCACCTTGTGTACATTTTCAGAGAATGAACATTGCATGTTCAGATATATTTACTCTTTGATGCAACTTATGTGATTAAGACCCTTCTACTCCGTTGGACAATGATGGAGCAGTCTTAGATACAGAATGAGAACATAACATCCTCTCTTTTTTCTAAATGCATTACTTAAAGGCTCGCGTCAAACTAAGAACTCCTTCCTTTTCCACTCATTGGGCTCCATCTCTCCATCCTAAGGCTGTAGATATGGTGTTCCTTCTTCTTCTTGCTTCAAGTCATTGAAGGATAAAAATGATGCAGCAATTCCACATTAGTCCATTGCACTCGTCTTATCCTTAACTTTGGAAAATTGTTCTAAGTTTCCTAACATGATTTCTACATTGTTATGTTGTTGATCGGCCATCTGTCTCCTATTATGACTACCCATAATCTAACTTTCTACACTGATCTGTATTCTTATCTCGTAACCTATGTTGCCGGACTCTCCAAAATGTTGCCGCACCCGTGTTGGATCCTCCAAAAATACACTACTTTTGGAGGATCCAACACGCACCCGGCAACATTTTCGGAGAGTCCGAGCAACATAGCTCGTAACAAATATCTTTATTTATTTATAGAAAGAAATGCACACATGCACTCCCAGATGCACGCGCGCACACACACACATATAGAGTACTCTAACATTTCATCATTATACAGGCCAGATTGAACTTTTTTCACATGTTCCTGTGCTGAAGAACTTTGTGGAACACCTAAAGCGTAAAAATTTTAATGTTTGTGTTGTGTATTTACTTGATTCTCAGGTGCGTGATCTTTACTAGTTGATTTTCTTCTTCTCTTTTTCCTTCCCCTGCTATTAACCATGGCGTTTATGTTCTTTTTGTATCTCAGTTTATCACAGATGTGACCAAATTCATAAGTGGTTGCATGTCTTCACTCTCTGCTATGGTTCAACTTGAACTACCCCATGTTAACATTCTCTCAAAAATGGATCTTGTGACAAACAAAAAGGATGTTGAGAAGTTAGTCCTACTACCTCTAACTCTTCGTTTCATGTCTTTGGCACTTTCAACACATGCTCCCACTAATTGTCTTTGTTATTTTAGTGTATTAAAATTTATTTTCCCTTTAGTTACTTGGATCCAGAGCCTCAGCTGTTACTAGCAGAGTTGAATCAGCGAATGGCTCCACAATTTCAGAAGCTTAACAAATCTTTGATTGAAGTGGTAAGCTGTGATAGTTATGATGTTTCCAAGAATTGTGTATTAGTTATTGAATTGACAATCACATATGTTTTGTGTTCTTCGATTATTCTGTTTGTCATTGGAACCTAATGGCAACTTTACTTGAAGAGGTTGTTCTTTCTCCCAAGTTAGATACAAGATTGTACAGGCTTGTAGGATATGAATTATCTGCCACGGATTCTGCCCTACTTTAAGTCTTTACTTTCGGATGCAAAGATATGAGAAGAAAGTTATCTGTAATGGCTGATATTTTTCTTGTGTACAGGTGGACCAGTACAGCATGGTGAGCTTTCTCCCTCTTGACTTGAGAAAAGTGAGCAGGTAACATACTCTTCCTTGTGGTAAATTTAAATTATCTTTATGGAAGCAATGTTTGTTCGAGATTGAATTGATCAGCTTGATTTATTGATAGCAAACATAATGCAATGATCTTTCAGTGTCTCAATTCCGTCAATATGCACCTGCTTCTCATGTTTTCACTCCCTGCTTCCTGTTCACACTTCAGGTTTTCATAGTAACTTATCTGAAATAAAAATGTGATGATGACGACAGTGATAATTTGTGCTTTTTAGTTTGCCAGATATTTAGCCATGTCTTATAGATTGCTTGGTTGGTAAACTTATACTAAGAACTTTTGACCTAAGGGATAGTACATTAGACGTCTGAACCACCAGATGGATTGTAGCTTGTTTATCTGTGCTTGTGTATGTGTTTGTTGTGTGCGTAACCCACACAAGAGCACCTTTTGTGCTTTCAGTCTTACTATTAAATTATTGTTTCAGCCTCAATGACAAAGATCAATGTTCTCTGCCGTTTTGCAGCATACAGTACATCTTATCTCAGATTGACAACTGCATTCAGTATGGAGAGGATGCTGATGTAAAGGTTAAAGATTTCGACCCTGAGGAGGACGATTAAAAATTAATTCTTCTTGACTCGTTCTAAAAGGAGCAAGGTCTTACTCAAATCAACAAGTGTCTTTTTTGCGGGACTTAATCTTTTTGAGGTTTACCTCTTGAAATTGCCTCATCTTCTCATTAAGTTGTAATTATCCCCCGAAAGATATTTGAGGTAAAAATCACTGCCGATGTCGAAGCATGTTAGAAATGGACCTCAGTGGACTTTCCGGATATGACGTTTTATGCGAGCTTTCGCGAAGATTTCAGATTCCTCTTTACTTTTTTGTTTAAAATTTGGTTGACGTTGAAGCTATTATGCTTCTGCCATTTCTTTTGTGGTAGAATCAGTGTGCTGATTATTTTTCTTTCTAGGGAGTCTAATGTAATAGGGTTTATTTGCTCTTAGCTCCTTGAATTTCTGTTTAGATCCAACAGTTATGAAAATAAGAAAAAGAGTGATGAGTAAACAGGAAATGAGGCTAGAACCATCGCGTTCCAAACATTGGTATGTTCCAAACGTTGGTCTAGGATTTAACATAGATTGTCATTTTTCGTCTAGTAATATTTCATTTTTCTTAATGAGTGAAAGTACAGCTCCCTTGGTAAAGGGTGAATAAGTGTTTGCGAATTTAATCATTTCTCTATTTATGCAATATTAATTTCTTCTAAAGCGAATGTAAGTAATCTTCTCTCTTTACCTTTGTTGGAATCTGGCCTTCTGGTTAAGGTCTAAGGACTTGGCTCAATTTATTTCTATGCTAACATCGGGAGACGTGACTAGCAGGCAGCTCCATACTTGTGGGTTCTCGAAATAAAAAATAAAAAAAAAAACTTAGTAATTAGTTACATTTCATATTCCAAGAGAATTGTGTTTCCACCCAATACAAATCTTGCTAAGTTTTTCACTTTCCGTTTACATCATTAGGAATTCGAATAGGAGCCTATTTCAAAATCAATCAAATTAAAACGAATAAGAATAAGAGATCGTTGTCCAAAAGAGGAATCCAGTGCAACGTGGCTCTTTGGTTGTAGAGGATAGGAGTAGGAGCCTATTTCTCTAATGCACCAAAATTAGAACCAAGCAGTCGCCCATCTATCTTTGCCATTCCCATTCGGATCAGCATTGTAAAATGCTTGAAGAAAGCAAAAGCAATAGACTATTCCATGAATTCTCTTTATTATCAAATGCATAACAAGCAAACTCTTTACCCATTTCCTTATAAGTAAGACAACCCTTTTGGGAAAAGTTTTACTTCTCTTTTGTTTTTGTTTTTAAACTTCCTGACTGCTTGCCCTGCTCACAACCTATTTTCATTGACTAATTCAACCCATTCCAGCCACCGCACCCTCCACAATTCTCCTTTTCTCAACACCAAAAGCAATTAGGGACAACACGATGGAACAATACAAGACTATATTGACATCAAGCAATTAGGGATCTAATTCAACTGGTAGAAGAGCCAACGAACTCAGCCATACTACAAGTACATACTACATGACGAGATTAAACAAATCAAATTCTAATGAACAAAACAAGAGAATAAATATTAGATTAGATTGACACCCAAAGAAAGCATAAACTTTCAATTGCAGGCAAATGAATGACAATCATCACAAGAGAACCTAACAACAACAGAAAAGGGCCAGATGCCTAAGCAACTTATTAGGCATTATTAACTGAGATGCCACAAATCCACAGCTGGAAATTATTGTAGGCATGACTAACAACTTATTGAGCCCAAAAACCAATTGCTAAAAGCCATGACTAACAAGGTTAACTTTGCAAGATAAGTGACGCACACTTCATGAACACTTCATTCGTTTATCATAAAGAAACCAAAAGCTTCACAAAGACACGTAAATAATCCAAAAAAAATCCCATTGCATTGATCCAAAGCATGAGGTCAAGGTCCCAAAACAACTGATTGCTATTCAATAGTACTTAACAGAATTCATGCACTTGTCAAATCTAACCTCATACATTGTCAAACAGACAGATTACCGTTCTACTAAAGCATGCAAAACTGAGATTTCTATCTAGGAAGAACAGACAGTATAACAAAACCATAAGCAACAAAATCTCATAATTCTAGTGTCGCTCAATCATCATCTTCCTCGTCATCGTCGTTTCCAGCAGCTGAATTCAAAGCATTCAGTCTCTCAATCAACTTGGCCTTCCTTTCCTCGTAAGTCAGCTTCTTCAGGTTGTACCTGCAATAGAAGCCCAATGAACAAATTATTTAGAGCAAGGATAATCACAGCATTTTAATTGGTCTGGTCAGCAAACATGCCATGTACTTGGAATACTGATAATCACATCAACTAATTGGTCAAAAGGGGAGCCTTGGAGCAACGGTCAAGTTGTCTTTGAGTGACCTTCAGCCATTGATGCTTGCGTCATAGTAGGCTGCCTACATCACACCCGCTTGAGGTGCGACCCTTCCCCGGACTCTGCGTGGACGCGGGATGCTTTGTGCACCGGGCTGCCCTTTTACATCAATTTAATGCCATATACTTGGCATACTTATACAATCACAGGGCATTTTAATTGGTCTGGTCAGCAAACATGCCATATATATTTCAACGCATGACACTGCAGAATTTAGATCCACCGGAAGACAATCAAAGAAGACCTATGTTCGAATAACATAAACAGGAAGTACAGAGCCTCCATGCACACAGAAAATAAAACCAATGTGCTGGAGGACTTTAAATCACCGTGACGTTTGCACTCCACACATTTTTTGCAAGTGCAACTAAAACTTTTTAATAGAAATCACAAACTCATAATGGCTCATACGGGATTAAAACAAACTAAAAATAAAACCAGACCTCTTGTGCTGCTTGGGTGGCTGCTTCTCAGATTTCTTTGGGCTTGGATCAGCACGTATGGCAGCATGAACCTTCTTGTACATCTCCTCGAGATCATCAGCCTCAAGACCTTGCTTAATGTACTCACTAAAGTGAGACTGATATTTCTCAGGTTCATCTTCAGTCAAAGTCTGAAAAAACACACAGGTTCGTCAGCATTTTAGAGATGGACAATAGGAAGATGCCTGATCCATCAAACAAGAACCACCTCATTACCCACTTAGCACAAACATTGTCCATGGATTCTATAACGGATACAACGACATAACAATTAAAATATAGTTCTTTCTGCATCACCTTCATATATGTTGCAACATGGCCACCATAGATGTACTTGCGGTGAACATCAGCATCAAGTTGCTTGGAGTCCTTGCTGAACCCAGCAAACCTCTTTTCGCTATGAGGAATATCAAGTCCGCCATCCAATGCACCCTGGACAGAAGCAAAGAATAGTAAATGCGATCAGTCATATTGCAGGATAAATCCTACTGAGAGAGGCCTACTACAAGAAGAAAGAGACTTATATTTAAGGACCATCTGCCAGACACATCAAAAGGACCAACTAAACCAGAAATATTAAATTAGACAAACAAGTCTTCGAGTTCCTCAGACATTGGCAACCATTGTTGCAATGCAGTTTTGGGGGTTATGCCAAGTGGAAGCGGCTGTTTCATCAAAAACTTTTTTCAAATCACAACTACAATGCCATTTAGACTACAACAGGGTAAAATAGAACGAAGAGCAAAAGTAGCATTATACCTTTAGAGCACCAAAAACACGATTTCCAGTAGTAGTTCTAATAAGGCCCACATCCAAAAGAGCACGGAACGGCCTCCTGCTTTCAGCGGGTTCAACTGAGTAATCCTCTCCACTGGCCTGTAAAGATTGATAACACCCATTACAAAATAAATACTGAAACTACAGACAGCAAAATAACATGTATCCTTGATATAGCAGCTGTCACTTACCTCAGGGTTCCCTTGGTACTCCTCATCCATTTCGAGTTTCTTGAGAACTCGTCTTGCCAAGAGAAGTCCAGTACAGTAAGCTAATTAAACATTGAATGAATTAGCACCAGTCAGAGAAGAAACACACAATTTCAGGTGACATGACCCAACAAGAAGAGGTTATGAAAATACCAGCAGCATAATTTGTAAGTCCAACTTTGAGGCCATACTTAGGCAGCTCACGAGCATATGCAGAAGCAAGAATCATGTCACCAGCTATGCTAGCAGACACAATTTGGGCGATTATGTCCCTGTTAGTCTGAAAGACGTTAAGGAAAATAAAGCAACGTAGAACAGCTGATGCCAATTTTAGCAACTTCACCCATTCGGCATCAGAGATTAACAGGAAAGAACTAGCAGTAATAGCAACCTGATCTTGAATTGAAGATATTGTCAAAAATAAATAAATCAAATCCCAAGAGGAAGTCATCTAAAGCAAGAAGTTGATGCTTCTAAGGTAGAGTAAATGTTTAGGATACAAATCGGACAACGAAACGATATTTTGGAGTGTTGTACTTGTTTTTGTCCTGATTAATCAGGCGATTCCTTGCTCTGTAGTCAGTCTTGCCCTCTGCACAGTAGCAAAAGTTATGAGCTGCAGAGGAAACGGTTTGATATCGAAAAAAATAAAGGATGAATAAAAGTAAATTGTACCTCTCCTTCTCTTGAATTTAACCTGGAAACGCTTAAAGTAAGCCCTAGTCTTCTGGACTTTGATGAATGCCTGCACATAATTTTGGTAAGAATCAATAAGAAAGTATGCATACTTATATTAGCAGAAGTAGAGAGATAAGTTGAGAAAAATTCATAGCAAACTCCGTTGGGCAATTAAGCAAGAGAATAAAGCTTCAATTTTAGAAATGCACTTCAATCTAAATGCAGAGAGTAAAACTTCTTCCAACTACATTATTATACTTTCTCCTTAAAGACTGGTGTTTTAAGTTAATATTAACACTAGTGCATCAATTACAAGCTCTCAACAAGACTAATTAAGCAAAAGAAAAGCATCTGCGTGTCAGCACTGACTATATGTCAATAAGGACCAATAGTTCCTGATAAACACATAATATACACAAACGCATACACATATAAACATATGCACAGAGATCAATCTACACACATACAAACATATATACATATATATGTAGCGTGTGTGTGTGTGTATAACGTGTAAACGAACTGACAACAGAACCAAAGATTCAAGCTCCTCATAACACGGGAAAAAATTATCATACAAGCACTAATAAACATGTAAGTTAGATATAAACAGTAAACATCGCATAAACCATCAAGTAGTGAAGATGGCTATTAATTTTTATAAACTTCACAACCCAGAATCCTAAGCCATTTTACGACAATAGTAACGCAGTATTTCAGCTATTTTTCTTAGCAAATCTATGTAACAAAAGCAACGAAAAGGAAAGAGGAAATAAAGAAATGCTACATATGATTATCCGAACAAGCTAGAAAATCAGTGAATCTTACCATTGTTCCTCCTGGATTAGCCTCCGGCGGCGGGGGGTTAAGGGGGTGGGGAAATGAGGAAAAGCTGTTTGTGAAGAGAACAAATAGTTATGTGAGGCAAAGCTAAAATACCTAAACAAAAACCCTAGTAGCCCGATCCTAATGAGGCGATTTGACTTTGTTACCCCTGAGTCTATTACCCTTCCAATAGAGACCCGAGAGGTTTTCTGTCTTTGTCCTCGCCGTATCAATTTGGTTCTAAATTTGCAATTAGGTATTCATGTGCTCCGTTAAAATTTAGCTTCAAAAATAACTTGTCTTACATTTCAATTAAAATCCTTCATTTCTAACACAGCGCCAGCCATTATATTTTATTAATGCTAATTATTTTGAATTGATATCTAAGTGAGAAACATGAAATAAAATCAAGTATACACCCCGGACATTCGTTACCTCATACGTATCTCCCACAACAAATAGCACATAGCAAGTATAGCACCTACATGGTAAATTTCTACCTCACAAGGTTAGATGGGAAACTTACCTCGCTTTGAAATCCGATAACCGGCTCCAACGTCTCTCTAACACCTTGAACAGATGTCAAACAATCCAAAACTAATCAAACGAATCAAAATATACCCAAATACCCGTAATTTAACAATTTAGAACAATTCCCAACTCTACTCAAAAAGTCAACAAAGTCAACCCCCGGGCCCACGTGCCCAGATTCCAACATTTTTGAAGATAAATATTACTTATAGTACCACGAACTCAAATATATAATTTATGCCAAATTCCATGTCCAATTTAGGGGTGTGCGTTCGAATCGGTTTATCGATAAATCGAATCGATTATTTGTTATCGGTTTATTGATTTATCGATTTCGATTTCGATTTCGAAATTTTCCTTATCGAGTTATCGATTTCGATTTCGATTTTGTCCTCTTCGGTTATCGGTTTATCGATAAACCGATAAGATATGCTAAAAAGATAAATATACCCTCGTTCTATAATACCCTTTCCTTTACCCTAAGTCTCTAACCACATCTCCATCTTCGCTGCTTGTGGCGCAACTCACAGCCTCTCCTCACTCTCATTTCATCTTGCGAAAATGGTTCTTTCAACGATTTGTTGAACCCGCCAGCAGATGTTGAAACGAGGAAGCATGAGCTCAAACGTCTTGTTCATTCTCCTAACTCTTTCTTCATGGATGTTAAGTGCCAAGGCTGCTTTAACATAACAACTGTGTTCAGCCATTCTCATACGGTGGTTGTTTGCGAAAACTGCCAGACAGTTTTGTGCCAGCCTACTGGTGGTCGTGTTAGACTTACCGAGGGATGTTCTTTCAGGAGAAAGGGAGATTAGAGGGATATCATTCGATTTATATTGAAATGAATCTTCATATGGGAATTTTGATGCAGTACTCTATTTTCATTTTCACTGCCTAGTCTTAATTAAGAACAAGTGTTTTTGAGTCTCTACTATGACTTGATTATGTTATGGTTCTAATTTGAGTTTTAAAAAAAAAAGGCCCTAACCCTATTATTTCCTCTACGTTGGAGTGTTGGTGGCACACATTCGATCCCTTACTTTAGTGTCGTTGCATGTGCTTGTTGACGCAATTTTTATGTTATAAACGGTGCTCGTCTTATTTTAGCTTCTTTTCGTCTATATTAGTTATGCGTGTTTATAGCGATATACTTTCCGTGGAATCCCGCAAATTTTCTTATTGGTGTAATCGATAATCGAATCGATAAGCCCCAAAAATCAATAAATCGAAATCGAAAAAATCGAAACCTTATTGAAACAATAACGATAAGCATATGTACAAATCGATAATCGATGAGTAATTATCGATAAGGGTCAAAATCGAATCGATAAATCGAATGCACACTCCTAGTCCAATTTCTTGGTCAAAGTCTAAAAATACAAATTCTAGTTTTTTTTTCAAAAATTCCACATTTTTCTACCAATTTCCATGTCAAAATCCATATAGAATTCACATATTTAACTCACAATATGTGAAAATTATTTACCTTACCTTAGATGATAAAAATATCCCCTCAAATACCTTAAAAAATCGCCCAATCCAAGTGAGAAGTGGAAGAAATGAGCCAAAATCTGAAATAAGATGAAGTCTAACCCAACGATCCCTTCTTCGCTGTCGCGGAAGCGAGGACCAAACTCAACCAGCTACCCAGTCGTTCTTCGTGTACGTGACACACTGGTTGCGAATGCGGTGACCAACTCAACAATCCTTAGCGAACGCGACACATCACTCGCGAAAGTGTAGGACAAAGTACCTAGTGCCTCTTGCCGCCTATCCTTCTATGCGATCGCGGAACCCATCTCGCGATCGCGATGCTCCGCCACCCAAAGGTTCGCGAATGCGTCACCTTCTTCACGAACACGAAGTATAAACTGCCTAACGCCCAAAAGACTTCTGTGAACGCGACCCGCTAGTCGCGATCGCGAAGAAGGAAGCACGAGATACCAGAAATAGCAGTCCAAACATGGCGAAATGGCCCGTAGCCCATCCGAAACTCACCCGAGGGCCCTAGGATCTCGTCCAATCACACCAACAAGTCCCAATACATTATCCAAACTTATCTAAAGGCTCAAAAAGCCACGAATAACATCAAAACCATGAATCGATGATCAAACCTTCTTTTAACTTTCAAACATTCAAACTTTGCCGAACGAGTCGGAATCACATTTAGACATCCCGGAACAATACCAAATTTTACGTACAAGTCACAAATCACAATACAAACCTATTCCAATGCTCGGAATCCCAAATGGACATCGATAACACCAAAGTCTACTTCAAATCAAACTTAGAAAATTCTAAGACCTTCAAAATGCCAACTTCCCATAATAAGTAGTGGAACGCTCCCGGTCCATCCGAAACTCGATTCGAACATACGCCCAAGTACAAAATCATCATACGAACTTATTGGAACCTTCAAATCCCGATTCCGAGGTGGTTTACTCAAAGGTCAAATCTTGATCAACTCTTTCAACTTAAAGATTCTGAATTTATAATTATTCCTCCAGATCATCTCCGAACTTCTCGAAAATCGAAACCAACCACACATGCAAGTCATGATACATGAAGTGAAGCTGCTCAAGGCCTCAAACCGCCGAACGACGCGCTAGAACTCAAAACGACAGATTGGGTCATTACATTCTCTCCCACTTAAACATATGTTCGTCCTCGAACGTGCCAAGAACCGTTCCAGAGTTGCCCAAAATCACTTCTTAACACCTCATGCACCTACCCCGTGCCCACTATCCATATGAGCACATTAGCTCAACCCAGACTGAAGATCCTTCTTGCTATCTTAGCCCGCAAGCCTTAGAACCAAATTCCAATACCCGAAATTCTCTACAAGTTCCGATTCTAGTGTTCGTACATCGTATCAATCTCAATAAGTTGTATCAAAACATGATCATACACCCACGTTGTAATCATGCAAAGCACCACATAATTCATTCGCCATAGTAACATCCTCCAACTACAATAGCTGCAAATTTACGAATCGGATGCCCGTAATATACCTCATGACACATATTAGACCCGTTCCAACCCTCGTAATACTGCATCGATTAAAGATATGTGTAGAAACTCATATCCACCTGTCAAAACAATAACTCATGGAGTCACCCCGCTTGGCAAGAACCATTGCCTCGTTCTAAACTTATTAGTGGTGTTTTCCTTCTAATAAACATTATATTGCGCTGATTTCAGGTCCAACAACCTCGCTTCACCTAGTATAAAACTGATCGGGCACTAAGCCACCTCAAACAATGTCTAAAATCTCATATGATGCCATCAATACACCAACAAGCCACAACTCGAATATGACAAATAAGAAAGATGAACCCGAATCCAGGACTATCTGGCCCCCGTAACGAATAAAACAACCAAACAAATGTTATGAACTTAACTTAGAGATGACACAAAAGACATAAATTAATTATAAAGATCCATACTCATCGTCTCACTGTTGTAGTGTGCAACCCGATCCACACATGATACCATTACGGTGTGCAACCCGATCCAAACATCATAGACGTGCCACCCGATCCACATATAACAATCAATAAGGAAATACACATCGATCCAAAATGCTCATACCCACTAAGTGCCCATATATGGACCACAAGCACGACAGGTGCATAAACACAACCCTGGGAGACAGATAGCCCCATGCGCTACAAATTGCCAAGCACAACTAAGGTGCAATAAACGACCTGCA